CACTGCACTCCAGCCGAGGCAACAGAGCGAGACTCCATCTCAAAAACAAAAATAGAAAAAAAAGAAAAGAAAAAGAGAAAAAGAAAAATAACAACAAAAATGATCACAGTGGAAACAGAAGAAAAGCACTACTAAAGATAAAAAGCAGAAATTAATGAAATAGAAGGGAAAAATCCACTAGCCAGGGGCATAAATTTAGAAGGCACGAGATGGTTTCCATGGTGCTCTTCCAGGTTGTAAAGCTGGCCATGATGTCGTGGGGTCTCAAGTCCTCTTTAGGATATAGTGTGCTCCACTCTCAGATTACCAATTGAGGGAATGGCTTATCCTAGAGACAGAAACCGGAGCCTGCGAGCTTCAAGACTGATGCTCCCCTTTACTCTGGAAGACCTGGGAAGTAGCATGATAATTCTTCCAGCACTAGTGTATTAGTGAATACACTGGAAGAGCCAGACACCCTCTCCCTCTTGGATGGGAGATTTTCACCCTTATAATAACAACCTAAGAGTCCTTAAATTTTGTGGCCTTCTAGGATGTCTTTTTCCTTTAATAACCATGTTAATGACTCTAGCATCCATTGCACATACTTGGCAACTGCAGACTAGACTGGATTTTCTGGGAAATAATATTTTTTGGTCTTTTCTCACAACAAATTCCTTAAGTCTTGCTTCCTTCTCAGCATCTTATCTCTAGCACATGGTAGTCTCATCTGACCCTGCTTCCCCTCACACATTTGATAGTGTAGAAGGGGGCCTTTTTTTCCTCTATTCTTATAAGTTCTGTGACCTGTGACTTTCACTGACAAAAGACAGATTAACAGGAGAAAAGCATACACATTTTATTTGATAATATTCTAAATTTTATGTGCACATGGAGGCCTTTGTAGAAAAGAAAGGAAGACTCAAATAAATGACTAGACCCAGGGGCTTATATATCATTTTAACAAGGAGCAATAAATTGTAGAAACATGAAGAGGCAATGGAAAAAGAGATTTGAGCTAGGGGGCAGTAAATTACAGGAAAGTGACTAGGAAACATATGGGGGAAATAAATGGAAGTTTTTTAATGTTTTTTTAAGATGGAGTCTCTGTTACACAGGCTGGAGTGCAGTGGTGTAATCTGAGCTCCCTGCAACCTCTGCCTCCTGGGTTCAAGCGATTCTCCTGCCTCAGCTTCTTGAGTAGCTGGGCCTGCATGTTTGTGCCACCACACCTCAATAATTTCTGTATTTTTGGTAGAGATAGGGTTTCACCATGTTGACCAGGGTGGTCCTAAACTCCTAGCCTCAAGTAATCAACCCATCTCAGCCCCTCAAAGTGTTGGGATTACAGGTGTGAGCCACTGCACCCAGCCAGATGTATTATTTTTGTAAGGTTTGTTTCTGTAGATTCATGTTGGTGTCAATTCCCCACCTCCATTGATAAGAATGTTCTCCTTTTCCTGGTGCAGGGAGGGTATTTTCTTTTCTTTTCTTTTCTTTTTTTTTTTTTTGAGACAGAGTCTGGCTCTGTCGCCCAGGCTGGAGTGCAGTGGCCGGATCTCAGCTCACTGCAAGCTCCGCCTCCCAGGTTTACGCCATTCTCCTGCCTCAGCCTCCTGAGTAGCTGGGACTACAGGCGCCCGCCACCTCGCCTGGCCAGTTTTTTTGTATTTTTTAGTAGAGACGGGGTTTCACTGTGTTAGCCAGCATGGTCTCCAGCTCCTGACCTAGTGATCCACCCGTTTCGGCCTCCCAAAGTGCTGGGATTACAGGCTTGAGCCACTGCGCCCGGCCAAGGGAGGGTACTTTCTGGCAGGAAATTTATGCCCTCCTTTTAGGTAGAAAGAGGAGATTAGGGAATCCTTCCTGCGTCTGCTGTTTCTGTCATCCAAGTATTAACAGGCCTGACCCTGAAATCAGCTGTCTCTCAATTGCCTTCAGTTCAAAATAGTCAATATGTCTAAGTGGCATGTTTTGGGATGGCAGGTTCTGATCTTCTTCAACAGTACCTTTGAAAGTACTTTCCTTCTCCTTCTTCGTTCCCCAAAGCCCATGTTACTCTGTGACACATACTTTTACTGAACGTGTGGCAATAACAGAGAGAAGTTCCAGCATAGAAAGAAAACAACTTAAAATGGAGTATTAAATATGGTGATGTTAAGGGTGTTAGAAAGCAGGCACTTGCACACTGCTGATGGGAGAGCAATTTGGCAGTGTTCATGAAAATGGAAAATGCACATCCCCATTCGATCCAGCAATTCCACTTCTAGGAAGTGGCATGATCTCGGCTCACTGCAACCTCCACCTGCTGGGTTCAAGTGATTCTCCTGCTGCAGCCTCCCAAGTAGTTGGGACTACAAGCACGCATGACCCACATCTGCTAATTTTTGTATTTTTTAGTAGATATGGGGTTTCACCATGTTAGTCAGGCTTGCCTCCAACTCCTGACCTCAAGTGATCTGCCTGCCTCGGTCTCCCGAAGTGCTGGGATTACAGGTGTAAGCCACCGCGCCCGGCCTGTACATCATATGATTTAAATGAATATTTTAAAATTATATACGTGTGTATACAATTATATGTGTGCATATACACACGTGTAATATATAAAATATCTATAATGTATATATGTGTATATATGCATATATACCTATACATTAAAGATATGTAAATGTGTATATGTATTATACACATATGAATGCATAATACACATATAAATGCATGTATTCTGATTTTCTTCAACAGTTCTTTTAAAAGAACTGTTTGCATATACATTTGTATATGTATATACATATATATGTATATATACATGTGAGCGTGATGCCTCACACTCACAGGTAACCTAGGGCTCTGCCTGAAGCTTTCTCTATTTTCCCTTCTCACCTCTTCTACCCCCTCTTTCTTCCTTGTCTTCAGGGAAAAATTTATAAGTCCTATTATGTTATCTGGGGCAGCATTTGAAATCTCTATTAATTACTTCCCTCTAGATGAAACTGACCTAATCTGTTATCTGCAAACATCATTAAAGAATCTTCCTAAACAAATGTCTCCCATCCCTGATTTTTACCTTTAGCAATTCAAAGAATTTGCAGATTATTGTAATTTAAAGTTTTCTCTTACAAATTCAGGTCAAACTATTAGGTCAGCCTCCCTGAATAATCTCCGATAGAACAAGGGAGAGGTGCTCTCTCCTTGTCCAGAATAAAAGCTAGTTTCCTTTCCTCTTTCCTGGTACAGAATTAACACTGAAAAGAAAGAACATTCTTATACATCAATCTTGGCAAGCATGTCAGGTTTTTTGTCTGAGAATAAATTCCTATGTGATAGGGTGGTGTCAACAGTTTAATATTTCCTCTGTGACTTTATTTATTTATTTATTTATTATAATTTTTTTTTAGACAGGGCCTTGCTCTGTCACCAGGCTGGAGTGCAGTGGTGCAATCTCGGCTCACTGCAACCTCCACCTCCGGGTTCCAGCAATTCTCCTGCCTCAGGCTCCTGAGTAGCTGGGATTACAGATGCCCACAACCATGCCAGGCTAATTTTTGTATTTTTATTAGAGACAGGGTTTCACCAAGTTGGCTAGGATGGTCTCTATCTCTTGACCTCATGATCCACCCGCCTCAGCCTCCCAAAGTGCTGGGATTACAGGCGTGAGCCACTGTGCCCGGCCCCCTCTGTGGCTTTAAAAACATTATTATTTGTCAGGCACAGTGGCTTGCACCTCTAATCCCAGCACTTTGAGAGACTGAGGTGGGCAGATCGCTTGAGCTCAGGAGTTGAAGACCAGCCTGGGCAATAGAGTGAAAGCCCATCTCTACCAAAAATACAAAAAAATAACCCAGGTGTGTTGGTGCAAGCCTATAGTTGAGTTACTCATGAGGCTGAGGCAGGAGGATGGTTTGAGCCCGGGAGACAGAGGTTGCAGTGGGCTGAGATTGTGCCACTGCACTCCAGCCTGGGCAACAGAGCGAGACACTGTCTCAAAAAAAAAAAAAATTATTATTAAGCTTAGAAAGGCATTTATCATTTGGAGAGTAGATATTTGCATATTTTTCTACTTTCATTCTTTCAATTTTTACATAAAATTATTTAATCCATCTGGAATTTATTTTGGTGAACATTGGGAAATTAGGACAAAACTTTATTACCCCTCAGAATACTTAGCCAATTATCCCAGCACTAAAATTCTCCCTTTCCTCAGGAACTTGTGATACCTTCCTCATTATAGACCAACTTTTTGATATATGCATTAAGGTCTGTTTCTAGCTTATTAATTTTGCTCCATGGGGCTCTATTTTTGCACTAGTTGGAGGCAGTTCTTAATAATTTTGTTTTAAATTTTTATAACAAGGAAGAAAAATTATCTGCAAAGAATGAGGGACAGAGATGATAATGAAGACATAAAAGGGGGAAATGGTTAAGACACGACAGTGTAGTGTGTGTAATGAGGAGTCATTTAGAGTTGAATAACTAAGGCATTGAGCTGCTCTAATGGCCTGGCTATGGGTGGAGAAAATCGGGTTATGATTAGAGAAAAAGTCTTCCATCAGTACTCTCTGGACCCCGCATCAATTTAAAAGCAGAATCTGGCTGGGCACAGTGGCTCACGCCTGTAATCCCAGAACTTTGGGAGGCCGAAGTGGGCTGGTCACCTGAGGTCAGCAATTCAAGACCAGCCTTGTCAGCATGGTGAAACCCAGGCTCTACAAAAAAATACAAAAATTAGCCAGGCGTGGTGGCGCATGCCTGTATTCCCAGCTACTCGGGAGGCTGAGGCAGGAGAATCATTTGAACTCAGGAGGCAGAGGTCGCAATGAACTGAGATCGTGTCACTGCACTCCGGCCTGAGCGACAGAGCCAGACTCTGTCTCAAAAAAAATTAAAAGTAGAATCTATGGATTCCTATGTATTCTCCATTCCTTTATTCAACAAATATATATTGAGGACCTACTACGTGTTGGACACTGTATTATCCTGAATCTAAATCAGTGATCAAAAAGATAGGATCGGGTCATTTGAAAACCATGGTTCGGGTACCAGCAGAGTCTGCAATGGAAGAGTTGACGCCTCAGCTATTGTCAGCAGAGCTCTGCAACTTGATGGAAGGTTTTGATCCCTTGGTTCCCCTGAGGACACCTCAGGAATGCCTGAGGCGGGTCCAGATCGAAGCAGCACAATGTCCAGATGTTGTGGTAGCACACATTGACCCAAAGAAGTTGAAAAGGAAGGCCGGGAGCAGTGGCTCATGCCTGTGATCCCAGCACTTTGGGAGGCCAAGGCAGGCAGATCACGAGGTCAGTAGTTCGAGACCAGCCTGGCCAGCATGATGAAACCCTGTCTCTACCAAAAGTACAAAAAATTAGCCTGGCATGGTGGTACACACCTGTAATACCAGATTCTTGGGAGGCTGAGGCAGGAGAATTGCTTGAACCCGGGAGGTAGAGGTTGCAGTGAGCTGAGATCACACCATTGTACTCCAGCCTGGGCAACAGGAGCAAAACTCTGTCTCAAAAACAGAAAAGAAGTTGAAAAGGAAGCAAAGTGTGAATATTTTTCTTTCAGGATGCCAACCGGCCCCTGAAGGTTATTCTCCCACACTTCAGTGGCAACAGCAACAAGTGGCACTGTTTCCAACTGTTGGACAGAATGTGAACAAACATAGAAGTCACTGGAAATCACAACAGTTGGATAGTAATGTGACGTTGCCAAAATCTGAAGATGAAAAAGGCTGGAAGAAATTTTCTCTGGGTGAAAAGTTATGTGCTGATGGGGCTGTTGGACAAGCCACAGTCGAAAGTCCCGGAGTAGATTCTGCACAAGGAAGATGGCTTTATGCTTTATGGACTTGTCTGGAAAAGCCTTTATTACCTCAGGCTCATTCACTGATTTGGCAGCTTGCAAGGTGCTGTGAAGTGAGGCTCTTAGTGGAGAGCAAAGATGATGAGAAGGTTCCTGCTTTGAATTTATTAGTCTGCTTGGTTAGCAGGTATCTTGACCAATGTGATTTATCTGATGTGCTATCTTGATGTAGCTGATCTCTCAGCGATAGAAGATATCTCTCACAAAGGCAGCTTAACTCTGAGGAAATGCAGTGCCAGTTCAACTACAGATTGCAACACATCTTCAACACTATGTGAGGAGTTCACATCTTACCCTGTGCCATTCAGGTTGATACTCAGAATATAGGTTGTATTGATTTGAATGTCTGAAATATCAACGAAAAATCACCCCGCAGTTTTTGATGAACAGTTTGAACTGTTTTCTGTAATCAAGCAGCTTGCATAGAAACTGTATGATGAAATTTTACATAGGTTCTTGGTCCTGTTTTGTTGTTTATCTACATATATACATATACAATTTTATTGAAAATATGTTTTGGTTACTAAAATTTTGTTTGACTCCTAACAAAAGACAATGGATGGCCTTAGCATCAGAATTAAAATAATCTAGAGTACATGACAAATGCATTCACAGCAATAAAATTAATCTACCATTTAAAAAAAAAAAGATAGGATCGTCTGGGTGTTGTGGCTCATACCCGTAATCTCAGCACTTTGGGAGGCTGGGTAGGAGGATTGCCCAAGCTCAGGAGTTTGAGACCAGCCTGAGCAACATAGCAAGACCTTGTCCCAAAAATTAAAAATAAATAAATAAATAAATAAATAAATAAATAAAAAGATGAGATCCACCCTCTTGGAACTTCCTGAAAATAGAGAAACAGTCTTGGAATAGGATATGTAGTCAAAAGATAGGATCCACCCTCTTGGGAACTTCCTGAAAATAGAGAGAAAGCAGTCCTTGGAATAGGATATGTAGTCATTGGGGATATGCATTCTGTTTTCTGTTTTTCTTTTTTTTTTTTTTTTTTTGAGATAGAGTCTCACTCTGTCACCCAGGTTGGAGTGCAGTGGCACAATCTTGGCTCACTGCAAGCTCCACCTCCCAGGGTTCATGCCAATTCTCCTGCCTCAGCCTCCCGAGTAGCTGGGACTACAGAGCACCACGCCACACGCCCAGCTAATTTTTTTTTTTTTTTTTTGACGGAGTCTCGCTCTGTCGCCCAGGCTGGAGTGCAGTCGCCCGCAATCTCGGCTCACTGCAAGCTCCGCCTCCCGGGTTCACGCCATTCTCCTACCTCAGCCTCCCGAGTAGCTGGGACTACAGGCGCCCGCCACTGCGCCCGGCTAATTTTTTCTATTTTTAGTAGAGACGGGGTTTCACCATGGTCACCGATCTCTGACCTTGTGATCCACTCGCCTCGGCCTCCCAAAGTGCTGGGATTACAGCGTGAGCCACCCGCGCCCGGCCGCCCAGCTAATTTTTTGCATTTTTAGTAGTGTGAGGGTTTCCATGTTAGCCAGGATGGCCTCGATCTCCTGACCTCGTGAGTCGCCCAGGCTGGAGTGCAGTGGCGCAATCTCGGCTCACTGCAAGCTCCGCCTCCCGGGTTCACGCCATTCTCCTACCTCAGCCTCCCGAGTAGCTGGGACTACAGGCGCCCGCCACTGCGCCCGGCTAATTTTTTTTCTATTTTTTAGTAGAGACGGGGTTTCACCATGGTCTCGATCTCCTGACCTTGTGATCCACCCGCCTCGGCCTCCCAAAGTGCTGGGATTACAGGCGTGAGCCACCGCGCCCGGCCGCCCAGCTAATTTTTTGCATTTTTTAGTAGTGACGAGGTTTCACCATGTTAGCCAGGATGGCCTCGATCTCCTGACCTCGTGATCCACCCACCTCGGCCTCCCAAAGTGCTGGGATTACAGGCGTGAGCCACCACGCCCAGTCACATTCTGTTTTCTTTTATAATAAAGATAGGCATTCCAAACGTTTCTCAATTTGTGCAGTCAGAACATAAATCTTCTTTAAAAAAAATTTTTTTTGTGTGACAGAGTTTTGTTCTGTCACCCAGACTGGAGTGCAGTGGCAAGGTTTTGGCTCACTGCAACCTCTGCCTCCTGGGTTCAAGCGATTCTCCTGCCTCAGCCTCCAGAGTAGCTGGGATTACAGGTGCTCACCACCACACCCAGCTAATTTTTTCTATTTTTAGTAAAGATCGGGGAGGTTCACCATGTTGGCCAGGCTGGTCTCAAATTCCTGGTCTCAAGTAATCTACCCGCCTTGGCCTCCCAAAGTTCTGGGATTACAGGTGTGAGCCACTGTGCCTGGTTGAATCTTCTTATATTTGGACTATTACTGTGTTAGGCTGGTCTTGCATTACTAAAAATAAATATCTGAGGCTGCATAATATACAAGAAATAGGCTTAATTGCCTTACAGTTCTGCAGGCTGTACAGGAAGCATAATGCCAGCGTCTGCTTCTGGGAAGGCCTCAGGAAGCTTACAAGTGTGGTAAAAGATGAAGGGGGAGCAGGTATCTCACATGGCAGAGCAGGAGCAAGGGAAACAGAGTTGAGGAGGAGGTGCCACATGCTGGTACTAAACCAGATCTCACAAAAACTCACGCACTCATCGCCAAGGGAATGGGGCTAAGTTATTCATGAGGGATAGGCCCCCATGATTCAAGCACCTCCCACCAGGCCCCACCTTCAACACTAGAGATTACATTTCTTTTTTTTTTTTTTTTTTCCTGTTTTCTTGTTTAATGTCTCCCCATGGCTAAGCAGCTATTAGATTTTAACATGAGATTTTTTTGGGGACACAGATCCAAACCCTATTATTGTCTTAGGTTGAATTGCCTAAAACTAGAACCTGAGAGAAGGATTCTTGTGCATGTGATGTACAGAGGAAGTGCTCTTAGGAGGAGAGTAAAGGAAGCAAAATTCAAGCCCAGCTTGAAACCAGGGATGGAGTCTTGCTCTGTCGCCCAGGCTGGAGTGCAGTGGTGCAATCTTGGATCACTGCAACCTCTGCCTACCAGGTTCAAGCGATTCTCCTGCCTCGCCCTCCCAAGAGGCTGGGATTAAAAGTGCCTGCCACTATGACCAGATATTTTTTGTATTTTTAGTAAAGATGGGATTTCACCATGTTTGGCCAGCTGGTCTTGAATTCCTGACCTCCGATGATCAACCCACCTTGGCCTCCCAAAATGCTGGGATTACAAGCACACTCTGTGTCTTTTAATTGGAAAGTTTATTTTATTTTATTTTATTTATTTATTTATTTATTTATTTTTAGACAGAGTTTTGCTCTTGTTGCCCAGGCTAGAGTGCAACGGCTCAATCTCGGCTTACTGCAACCTCCGCCTCCTGGGTTCAAGCGATTTTTCTGCCTCAGCCTCCCAAGTAGCTGGGATTACAGGCATGTGCCACAACACCTGACTAATTTTGTATTTTTGGTAGGGATGAGGTTTCTCCATGTTGGTCAGGCTGGTCTCAAACTCCCGACGTCAGGTGATCCACCCACCTTGGCCTCCCAAAGTGCTGGGATTAGCCACCCCGCCCAGCCTGGAAAGTTTAGTTTATTTACATTTAATGTTATTATTGATAAGTAAGGACTTATTCTTGCTATGTTGTTACTCGTTTTCTGATTGTCTTATGGGCTTCTCCTCCTTTTTCCAATCCTTCCTGTCTTCCTTTCAGTGAAGGTGATTTTCTCTGGTGGCATGTTTTAATTTCTTCCTTCTCTATATTTTGAGTATCCATTGTATGTTTTTTAGATTTCAGTTACCACGAGACTTGCAAATAATATCTTACAACCCATTATTTCAAACTGATGCCAATTTCACACTTATTTCACAAACAAACAAGCAAAAAGAAAACTAATAAAAACTCTACAGTTTAACTTTGTTCTCCTGCTTTTAAACTTTTTGTTGTTTCTATTTATATATTATTGTACTGTCTGTGTCTTAAAAAGTTGTCACCGTTGTTGTTTTTGATCAGTTCATCTTTTTATCTTTCTACTCAAGATGAGTAGTTTACACATCACAGTCACAGTATTATAATATTCTGTGTTTTTCTGTGTACTTACTATTACCAGTAAGTCTTGTCTTCACGTGATTTCTTATTGCTCATTAACGTTGTTTACTTTCAGATTGAAGAACACCCTTTAGCGGTTTTTTGTAGGACAGGTCTGGTATTGATGTAATCCCTCAGTTTTTGTCTTGGAAAGTCTGTCTCCTTCCTTCCTTCCTTCCTTCCTTCCTTCCTTCCTTCCTTCCTTCCTTCCTTCCTTCCTTCCTTCCTTCCTTCCTTCTTTGTTGTTGTTGTTGTGACAGAGTCTTACTCTATGGCCCAGGCTGAAGTGCAGCGGTACAATCTCAGCTCACTGCAACCTCCGCTTCCTGGGTTCAAGCGATTCTCTTGCCTCAGTCTCCGGAGTAGCTGGGACTACAGCTGCATGCCACCATGCCTGGCTAATCTTTGTATTTTTAGTAGAGATGGAGTTTCACCATGTTGGCCAGGCTGGTCTCGAACTCCTGACCTCAGATGATCTGCCTGCTTCAGCCTCCCAAAGTGCTGGGATTACAGGCATGAGCCACTGCTCCCAGTGGAAAGTCTTTATTTCTTCATCATATTTGAAGGATAGTTTCACCAGATATGTTATTCTAGGGTAAGAGTTTTTTTTCCTTCAGCACTTTAAATATGTTATGCCATTCTCTCCAGGTTTGTAAGGTTTCCACTGAAAAGTCCGCTGCCAGACATATTGGAACTCTATTGTATTATTTGTTTCTTTTCTCTTGCCTTCAGAATCCTTTCTTTATCCTTGACCTTTGGAAGTTTGATTATTAAATGCTTTGAGGTAGTCTTCTTTGGGTTAAATCTGCTTGGTTTTCTATAACCTTCTTGTACTTGGACATTGATATCTTTCATTAGATATGGGAAGTTCTCTGTTATTATCCCTTTAAATAAACTTTCTACCCCTATCTCTTTCTCTACCTTCTCTTTAAGGCCAATAGCTCTTAGAATTGCCCTTTGGAATTTATTTTCTGGATTGTGTAGGCATTCTTCATTCTTTTTTATTCTATTTTCTTTTGCCTCCTCTGTGGGTTTTTTTCAATTTTTAAAAAATTAAAAAAAATTTTTTAGACCAATTCTCACTCTGTTGCTCAGGCTGGAATGCAGTGGTAC